GGTGGTTTAAATAATGGTTGCAAAAATAAAGGAGTCTAGTATGTTAAAACTCTGTCTCTTCAGTTTTATATGTGTATATCCCCATGAATCTGCTTATGTCATTTGCTAGCAAATCAAGATTTTTATGTATGCATGTATGTAAGAACCTGTTACTTCGGTCATACACATGTATCGACTTGCATATATATGTGCGCGCGCGCGCGCGCTTAATCAAATAAATTATTTCATCAACAAAATTTGTGGATGTGTGGGGACTTAATATATTAATTACATTATCATCTGCGCCCGTCTGTGATCTGTGGGTAGTTGCAAATAAAGGATGATTGTATGGTAAAACTCGTCGCGTCAGTTATACATGTAAATGTATCACACCAAGCATATTATGATTTGACTTAATCTGTTAAAAAACAAAAGGGGGACATGTTAAGATGGCCAAAACTTTATCTTATTATGCTTTCCTCCAATAAATTTTTACCACCTGGATGATTTATCCAACTCACAACAGTACTATAAAAAAAACTTTTTACACTGTTTAAAAAAGAACCAGTGTGAAAGCTGGAGATGATAGCATTTTAGTAAATAAATAGACTTGATGTAGCATTTTCTATGCCGATTCCACATATAAACTTGCAGCGGCAACAACAGGGGAACATAAAAAATATCAGTGGCTACAAAGATATAATTGGAACCAAAATTAGGTTTATTTATTTTCTTTTCATTTTGGAAAGCTAAAGGTGCAAAACTCTTTTAAGAAGTGTTAATTGGTGAGCTAAAACAATCATCCAGATAGCAACAATTTTTTGAAGGAAAATATATTAAAGACATAACTTTAAGTGCGTAAATTTTGCCCTATTAAAAAAAAAAAAAAGAATGACACATGTCTTCAATTGGAAGACGCCAAACAGGGGGAGGAAAAACACCATGCGGTCCAAGGGAATTAACGGTGCCAATAATTGCTACGTGTCTAATTGTTGTCCCAGTTATTTATTATTATATAAGAAACTTGAAAAAGCATAGGAAAGATTCAAGATGAGAGTTTGGATATCAAAAACATGCGATACATGCCCTGCACAGGTTACAACTTTATCCAAGAGTTATAATAAATTAAATAACAAGATTAATTTACATTAATATGCAATATGGAACTTTTGAATTTAGGGTATTAAATATAATAAAAACTCTTAAAGTCATTTATTATTGGAGAAATTATAGAATGTGGTATATGAAAGGCTAAGAGTTGGGGAGAGTCAATAAAAATTCACACAATATAATATTTATAACAAAGATAAAGATTAGTAAAAAAATTTATAAATAGGGAAAAACCAAAAGGAAGAACTACGTCACTACAAAACAAGAACTAAAGAAAAATACTTCTATGGAGGCAGAAAATGAAGACCGACAGGAAACTTTAATGGTTTCAACATATAATCAGCTTAAAGATCAGCTAATTTTTAGTGGGCACAAATATGGATGAATGCCCCGGTATTTATTGGCAAGTGACGTGTTCCATGACGAGCATAGATATTTTTAGTACAAATTAAATTCAACATAAACAATTGCTAACAATTAATCTTCACGTCTTAGATCATCGTTGAGAATAAAAAATTAGTAAGAATATTAATGGTGTCCTAAAAGAATTTAATATCTTATAAGAATTATATAAAGATCATATATTTGCTAAAACAATAATATCACTTGTTGATTTGTTAATGTTTATTTGTCAAAAATTCTTATCAAATATTAAATTTTGTTAGGAGTCCTTCGTTGATATTCTTTTTAAAATTATCAAATTATACTATATCTATCCCAATTTATAAAATATTTTAAACAAAATTATATATAATAATAAAATTTATTATATACACTTTACAATCTTACTTTTTAAAATACCCTTTATTTAGTATTCTATTTGAGAAAGAATATTTAAGAGAGAGAATACATAGAAAGGATAATATTCCCTTCGTCTCAAATTACAAGACACTTTTAAACAAAATCTCACCTACCAATAAAACTCATTAAATACATTTTATAACCTTACTTTTTCAAGACAAAAATAGAAACTTTCAAAAATGTCATTCATTTAATACTCCATTGATAAAAGAATATTAAAGAGAGAGAATATATGAGAAGGGTAATATTAAAAAACTATCATTAATTAAATCTTATTTTTATTAAAGTGTCTTATATTTTGAAAACGCTAAATTTTCTCTAAAAATGTCTTATAATTTAGGATAGAGAGAGTATTAAAAAAGCAATATGAATGAAACTTTATTTTTATCAAAGTATTTTATATTTTGAAACATTGAATCTCCTTTAAAAGTATCTTATAAATTGAGTTAGAGAGAGTAATTCAATACTATTGAATTTTATTACATTGAAACCATCAAGACATATATGAGGTTACGCAACACTGGCACATGGTATGCTTACCCAAGTAAACTGATTAAGTTGATTAATTTGATTATAATAATAGTGTTTAAAAAAAAGGGCGGACAAGAGCATGCAATGTAAAGCCACAGGGGGGACATACTTGGGGCCGAAGGAGAGGGCAATAGTTGTTGATAAGATGACTTTAATTTGAGTCCGCACAGTGGAGAGATGGAAATTAATTCCCAGTCGATATTTGTGTTGGGGGCTTTGGACACTTTTGTTAAAAATAACAAAATTACCCATAGCATTGATGAAGCTAAGATAATTTCCCAATGAGAATGGACAAATCATATTTCAATTCTACAAGTGTCCCAAAGTTTGTTATCCAATGAGTGTTCACATTATAGTTATAAGATCTTATCAGTGCTTGAAAATTTATGTTTGACTAGAAATGAATGAAATAGTGAGTTAAAATGCATAATGATCTATATGATCAGAATGCATTTTAATAATTTCTCTACAATCATATAAATCATTGGATTAAAGTATAGCGCATAAGAAAAAGTAGAGTTTTGATCTAGCCTTCTCTCCATATCTCTGGCAATCATTCAATTAAATCGACGATTTCTATGGAGTAGAAAGAGGTGGGAGACATCGGATTTGGAGGCAAAGCATACAGCATATGTGATTTCTAGGATTTAGCCACTTGATCCTCAAAGCAACTTCCACTTCTCTTGCCTGTTCTTGTGCTATTCCCTCCGTATGATGATCCATTAATCACTCTGTCATATATTCTAGTCCTCATGAGCCTATTTATGCATGGTATCACTATCATCAACATATATATACATATATCTGTGTGTGTGTGTATTATCAACCTCTATCTATCTTAATATATATGTATATATATTATCTATCACTGTCAATTGCTTGCTAGTTTATTTGGAGAAGGCAAAATGAGAGAATATTTCAAGAAAGGGACACCTCTAACGCAACCACTCATGCTTAAACAGTGGCTATCATCAATACTTTCAAAGAGTGTCGAAGCAAATTCCAAGGTACTATGTGGAGGAAAAAGATGGTTTAGTAAGCACCTGGAATCCACTGACAGATGCTTGGGTTAAATTAAATATGAATAGTGCTTTCTCTGTAACTCACAATATTGCAGGACATGGTGGCATGATTCAAGATCCTTGTGGTGAGTTCAAGGTTTAATACTTGAATATATATTCAACATGACTGGTTGTGAGCCATCGCTTGCTGAACTCTGGGCTTGTATGTGGGGACTCATAATGGCTTGGGATCTTGGATACTGCAAGTTAATCCTTGAATAGGATTTACTCAAAGCCGTCGATGTACACAAAGGTGCAGAATATTCCACTCGATGTCCTAATAGGGAAGTTATTTCTAAGATCCGACTCCTTCTAGCTTGTGCTTGAACTGCGAACATTTCGCATATCTCATGTGATGACATAATATTGCTAATAATGTTATGAAAGAAATTACAGAAGACTTAAGCTTTGGGGAAAAACACTACAGATGATGTGAATTCACAACTACACATGGGTGCTGGAAATAAACACAATGCATGCATGTTGCAGATTGTGTTGGGTGCTGCAATTCTAGAACGATGTGTTGGATTGGGCCAAAATAAAATTAAAATTTAGCTCAGCTATCACTATAATTGAATGCAACAAATTCCAGCTTAATTAATATTACACATCTCTCTCAATCCTTTTCTCTTCCACGATTACCTAACACTAATAACTATACTAAGGCATTATTGGGGAAAAAGTAGTGAATTGATTCGTATATAGATTTTGTAAAACGGCCTACAGACAGAATCATAAAAAGCTTCTAAATATGTTACTTATTATAAGCATGAATGGACCAAGTGATTTGGGAATGTTTGTTTCCACCTTCTTCCCCAACACCTTTTCAATTCAATCAATAATGGAAACAGGACGACTGTTCTATGAAATAGGATGAAAAGAACTAAAAATGCCAATGAAAGATTATCAAAATCTCTCTTCTCTAACTTAACGTTATTTAAGCCATTTAATTTCATTTATTTGTTTGTTCGATAGCTTAATTTTATTCTTTTTAAAATATTTCTATTCTAATAAAATATTATAGTACTTGATAAATATTCTCTTTCTTTTCTTGTCCATATCAAATAGTTTTTTCATTTTATTTTTATTTTATATATATATATATATCTCACTATTCTATATTGTCAACCATAACCCAACAGAATTTCATTTCTTATTTTTATTTACGTTGCCAGTCCATTTATAAGAAAGTAGCTAGGTGTGAAAAGGCGAGGTTACACACAGGTTCTGTATTACATAAGCTCTTCCAAAATCTATTTACTTGAAAATAGTCCGTTGGTTTTTCACAATTTTAATTTGAGTATTCCTTTTGTTGGAATTAAAAAGAACTGCCTTGTGAGTATATTTCAGTTTACAAATTACACATACAATTGGAATGGAGGATCGCGATTGAGAGGTGAAAACAAGGAAACAGGCATCGGATCCAACTGATAAGTGATAACATAAAAACTCAAACAGCAGCATTATTTGTCATCCCTTTTTTTTTTGTTTTTTAATTAATACAGATACTATTACAACTAATAATAATTCCATGATTATTGCATAATCAATTTCATCTTATCATTTCTCTCAAATTTAATCACCAACGCCAGCTGGGACTGAACCCACAAACTCAAACAGCTCTTCAACAAGGCTCTTGTCCTTCGTCCTCTGCTCTGACTTCACGTAATCCAACGCATTCTCCGATCCGTACTCCTTCATCCCGGCTTCTCCTCTCTTCTTCCACAGCCCTTCGCCGTAGCTTCTGTGCGCGAAATACGCCTCCGCCTCCGCCTCCTCCGCCGATCCCTCCATCGCCACTCGGATTGGGCGGCGCTCGTAATGCCTCATCCTCACTCCTTCTAGCTCATCCAGTTGGGTCAGCCCTCGCCTGGTCACTCCGTACAGCTCTCCCTTGATGTGGTGACCCGACCCGGGCAGGTGAATCAGATAGGGCACGCCGTACAGCCCGCACACGAGGGGGTATCGCTCTCTGGTCTCGCAGCTTCCCATGAAAACGGCGTCTTTCGTGCCTATTAGGTCCTCCAGCAGAGGGTGGTTGGGAAAACCCTTCTTCAGGGTCCCGTACGTGTATATCAGCCGGAGTGTCCCGCCGTCACCCTCCGTCCCTGCCACCGACATCTTCGCCTGTCAGCCCGTGAGAGCATTTTGCCTGATTGGTCAGCTTTAATTACAGCTCAGATCTGTGCCCAAAAACATAATCATAATTCTAGCTCAGATGAATCGCTCATTTCTAAGTTATATGGCCTGTACCGAGCCCATCTATTAGACTTAAGAAATGGGCTTTTGAAGCCCATGATGTGGCTGTCACAATGAGCCTTATCAGATGAAGGACTTATGACTCTCCCTTCTTCTTCTTTTGTCAAACATGTTAAAAAATATATATATATAATTTTAGATTCTGACATTTTATTTAAATTTTATTATAGATTTATGTACTTTTTTTTAAATTTCTTAAATTCTTACATTTTTATTTTTGAATGTTCTAGGTCCCTCCATGACTGCTGTTATAGAGATTAAGAACACCAAAAAATAAAAATATAAGAACTTAAAACTTAAAAAAAAAAGTGTAGGATCTATAATAAAATTTAAATAAAGTACAAAGATTTAAAGTTATATTTTTTTAAAAAAAATCTAACATTATTTGGTGCAGTCCCTAAATTTTGAAATAATGTCCCTATAGTTTCTAGGATTTGGATTCATTTCAAAGAGGATTTTAATTATAGTTATGAATTTTATCAATACTTAAAAATTATATATATTTTTATCTAAAAATTTAAAATAACCTTCATAATAAAAACACTCTCATATATGTTGTTTTCTTCAAATTTTTAAAATTCGATATTTCTCAAATATTATGTGATATCAAAATTTCTTATAGCCATTTAATTAAATTAAATTAGGGAGAATGAAAGAAAGGTTTTAAGATGATCAATTAATTTAAGTTAGGTTTTAAGTGTTAAATTTTAAAAATTTACAACTCAGTCTTTTAATTTTGTAATTCTACTGTGATGAATTTACAATTTCTATTTTAAATTTTAACAAGCAAAATAAAATTTTTTAATTCTTCAACCATATTAAAATTTAAAAAAAACTATAAATTTATCATAATGTAGTTATAAAATTAAAAAATAAACTTGCAAATTTTTAAAATCTGATATTTAAAATTTAACTTAAATTAATTGATTATTTTAAAATCTCTTTATTATTCTCTAAACTATTTATCTAGGGGCATTAGGTAAGTAGACTTGCATCACTCATCAGAATCAAATTCTTAGTGTCTATTGTTTCTTGACTTACTTATAATTTTTTATGACTCAATACAACTTGGAAAATTTAGATACTAAAAATTATCTTATTCCTTAAAAAATGTAACGACTCGAGACGGTAGGAAAGGACCGGGGGTAAGATTGGAAGGTTGGTGACGCCTATTATGGCTAGGAATCACTGTTAAGGGGAACTGGGAATGAAGTGAATGGTCTGATTCAAAATGAAGCTGATGTTTGGGAGATAATGACGTGGCAGAGGAAGTATGACCCTATTCAACAGACATAGAGGGCCTTTTCGTTACGCATCTTTCTCCACGACGTGAAATTAGGAGAAAGAAGTCCCCCACACCCTGTTAAGGTGATCCAAAAGCTTGCCACTATTCAGCTTCTATCATCATGACTTGATTTTCTCCTCATCATGCGTTTTTTTTTTTTTACTCCGTTCCAAAGTAGGGCTGATTGGGCCACGTGAGATCTACGTAGGCCTCCATGAGCTCTGGAGCATCAAAGCAGAGTGCTCTGAATGAGGAAGATGATGACTTTTCTCTCGATCAGTCTACGAAGAAAGTAACTAGACGTTCGTGTGGGTTTGTCTGTCGATTACGTTGGACAATGGATACAGAATCACTCGAACCAGGAAGAAGAAAGAAAACTCAATCGAATCACGCTTTTATAGAGTAGCAATGAAAAGCCGAGAAGTGGAAAAATACAATAAAGGAGAGGAAGAGGAGCAGAATGGACAGGATCACGTGTAGTGTAGGAGAGGACAGGACGCACATGAGGTGTTGAGAGAGAGAGAGGAGAGAGGAGAGAGAAGGGTGGTGGGGTGGGGACAGGAACGTACGTTGGATTTGGTTAAGAGTGCCCAAAAATTCAAAGGGCTTTTGTGTGGCTTATCATGTAGGGCTCTTAGGTACGATAGTTACCACTCAGAGGCACAATGGCAGGTTCATCGATCAGATGGTTTGCCAAAAAGTGTGCACCATCTTTTCCTTCTTGGGTCGGTACATTGCACATTTGCACTACACATGGTTTTTACCCCTAAGATTCTGAATCTTCTGTCCAGTCCCCAAGATTTTTCCGTTCTTCACTTCTGCATATAAACTCATCCCTTACAATTATATTGCATGTTTGTATCGGTCGCTTGGGATCAGGAATGTTTGCTTTCGATGCTGTGTTGTGAAGGCAGCTTCCACAGATCACAACGTTTCTCTCAGCACCATGGAACTGTTGATTTTCCCAAACGAGGGTAAGGTTCATCCAATCTGGTCGCTGTGATAAAATAACTCAATTAGCCGTGTGTTGGACTATGCGAAATGGAAACAAGTATACCAACTTTATGCACAATGTCAAATAGACCAGTGACTTTCTTCCATGCTTGTCTCATTCTTTTGCTTTATTATTTGAGAATAATCTGAATCTCTTGGAAAAATTGAATGCATTGTGTGAACAGATCACCAAAACCACGACGAAAATTTTGATCTCTTTCATTCCCTTCATTTGAAACGCAAACAATTTACGAGTGATTCTGTGCAATGTACCATTCAATTTATTTGGCGTGATATAACTTTTGAGCAAGTCGGCTACCTCACAAAATTGCTGTTGTTACATTTATGAACTTTATATGTATTGCTAATTGAGAAACAAAGCAAGACAATTCATGGTTGTGAGCTGGTTTTTAAGACTTTTGTGGTTTGTGCACATGGGTTCAGTATGTATTGGAACTGAGGAAGATATATACAGACAACACGCACGAAGATATAAACATCCTTTTTGCAGCGTCTTGTATTAAAAATTAAGTTGAGCACTTGAAGAAGAATCGATTCCGTTCTAAATTCAAACCGTAATAAGGAAAGTCAAATGCTATACAAGAAAACAAAACCAGAATAACGCCAAGCGAATTAGTTTGATGCACCGTCATCTAGAAAATAATAACAAGCACTAATTAAAGGAGCCTCCAGATGTATATATGTGTCAAGAGCAGGTAAGCATTGCGTATACGCACTTGTATCTTCTCAACTCAACTCTTTCGGAAGAACGTGACAGAGAAATAAAACTTAACCAGGAAACATATATGAATTATCTCTTGAAAGCTACTATTCTCACCGGTCCATCTTTTTGTCCCCCCCCCCCCCCCACGTTTTCCTTCTCCCCTTGTATATATGATAAATGAATGAGTGACATTTATATTTATTTGGCTGCTTTACTTGGTGTCTGTCTCCAATATATATCATCTCTCAAGTCACAATGGTATCCTAGAGATTCAACTACGTACACAAGAAGATTAAGTAGAGCCTTACACATGGACGACCAGAGGATCGAGATTCAAAGCAAACACACGGGGGCTGGCTGCAAAAGAAAGGGACCCAAAGAGCAAAAAGGATCAGCTACTAGTGAATTAGTGATGGCCCCTCAGAAATCAAAATAGATTACTTCCTTCAAGGACATGTACTCTAGCAAAAGAAATCTATGAATTATAGATGGGGCATGAGGTATGATTTGCTCCATGTGCAACATGCTTTGAGGCTTCAATGTTCACTGTTGCTGCATGACCTTTTGAATTATGGGCATTCAAAATGAGGGAATGACAATCCCAAAAGAGAAAAATCATAAGATTTAGGACCTGATAATTTTTTTAAAAAATATGTTTTAAATATTCATTCAAATAATTATAAATTGAGAATTATATTTAAAATTTAAATATTTTATTTATTAATTAAAATTCTTGAATTTGTTACTATTTAAATCAATATTTACAAGTTATTTTTAAACAACTAATATTTAGGATCTAATTGTCATAATTTTTTAAGAAAAATATAACTTTAGATCCTTGTAATTTTCTTAAATTTTATTATAGATTCTTATATTTTTTTAATGCTTTAAATTTTCATACTTTTTTTCATCTACACCTCAAATCCCTCCATGAACAGTGTTATAAGGACTTGAGGTGTAGATGAAAAAAAGTATAAAGACTTGAAATATAAAAAAATATATAAAAATTTATAACAAAGCTCAAACTAAATGTACAGATTTAAAATTATGTTTTTTTATTTATAATTTAACTGTCATTCTTCTAATAAAAATTGACACTTTGTTTCCGACCTCTCTGAGTGAGCTCTATGACGCGTCTGAACCTCTACGCCTATGTATCCTTCCCCTGTTCTGCTGCTGCTGCTATATAGGCATGTACCCATGCTTTTCCGATCTCCACATAAATATGAATATAAAGTCTAACATTTTGAGGGAATCCCCGTTGGAAAGTTATAGCTTTCATGCTTTTATTTGATCGCTATATATGTGTGTCATTCATTGATAGATTTTCAGGTGTGTATATATATATATATATATATTAAACAAGTTGAGGAAACAAAGGAGGGAGAGGCTACAACGTAGCTCATGTGGCTCCTTTGATGATCATGCAATGATGTGTTTGTTATTGCTACGGTCGGGATTATCACTGAAGAGGAAAGCTAGCTTCTTTAATTTGTGCACCGAAAATGAAGATGAATTTCCTTTTCATGTTGCTTTCTTGCCTGTGCTTTCTCAAACAGTTCCTCTTGCCCACATAATAGTCCTCATCAACTCAAATGCCTACAGCCTTTCAAATTAATAGACTTCCCCATGTGTGTTTGTGTGTCTGTATATATATTAATTGTATATAGAGGCATCTGGGAAATTTGAATTCATTATTTGAACATTGATTAAAGCTGTGTAGAGCGATCCATTCAGCCATATTAATTCGAACTTGAGGTGTTTTCTATATGCTCACAATCTCCACCCTTCATTTCAGTTAATGGTCATAAGATTTTTATCTAATTTCCTTAATTAAATGAAGGGCTGAATAGATTTTAATTTAGATATTAAATGGGACAATAGGAAGCCCCAAACATCCCAAATTCATTTAATTCCAATCAATAGGCCTCTGATATATTTATAAGTTATTTACAACATGTTCTACAAAATTAAGAAGGACCTTAAATTTTATTAATTTTATTTAAGAATTCACAAAGCTTCCAACTTTTATCTTAAAAACACTACACGCACACTCTTTAAAATTAAAATATTATAGTATTTAATAACTTTCCCAACATTTAAAGAGGAGTAGAAGGGTAAAAATATGCACTATAATCATTTGACATACTTTATAAATAAGATTAAAATAAATATTCTCTTTTCTCTTTTAAATAAGATCAGAAGAATACTCCCTCCTATCTCTATAACAAAACACCTCCAACTACCTCACAAAATCAAAGTTCGAATTCTCGCTAGGAGAGGTGTCCCTATTTAATGGCAAACAATGCCTCGAATATGAGTGCCTTAAATATGAGGATATACTTATAAGCAATAAAAAAAATAGAACAAACTTGCAATTTTACCTCTATTTAAATAAAAAAATTTTAAATTTGTATTATATTCTTTCTCATATATAGTTAATGAATTTAAAGAAGACTAATGTTGAAAAATGTAATTAATATTTCATATTATGCCTTATATTAAGGACAAAAAAAAATACTTTTAGAAAATGCCCTATAATATAGAAGGGAGGAATATATCTTATCTATTAACCCTTAATCATTAAGCATTCATATATATTAGGGAGAATTTCAATAGACACCTTGACCATACTTATTTAAATTCAAAGCCACTAAATTTCTAAAATTTCACTGCAATAATTCAGGAATACTAATTTGATATTAAATTTTTGAGAAAAATAACAAAATTATCTTTTATTTTAATTAATATTAGAATTATCATATTTCACTTGTTAATTGCCATACTTCACTTGTTTATTCACTTATGAAATTTTGTTAGTTGTCCTATCATACTTATTCATTTTTTTGGAACGAAATTAAGTGAAAATATGTCAATGAACAAACGAGGTGGGGCAATGAACAATAACTTTTAAATAAATGAATAACATACTGTATATAAATTAACAAATTATCTTAAGATAGTTTAAACACATAAAATAAAAATAAGTTAATTAACAAGTAAAGTAAAGTAGTTTTAATATTAATTTAAATGTATGACAATTTTGTTATTTTCAAAAGAAATTTAATATTAAATTAACACCCTAGATTGCAGAGTAATTCTAAATTTTTAAAGAGTTTAAATTTAAATAAGTATAATTAATGGAGTTTAATTGAAATTCTCCCCATCTATTATCTAGAATAGTAGGGAGAGATTAATGAGAGATAGCTAGTCATTTATGTGCAACATACATTACGTACACTTTCCATGATCAGTTAAATAAACAGGCTGGTGACAGTAACTTTTATAATTGAAAGCGAATCTTTAGCACATAACAGAGACTATTATGTACTGCTGAGCTATTCGGCCAAGCAACTAGCTAGAAGCTACCACTTATTTTAAAATAATAACAAAATTAAAGAAAAAGCTGTTAAACAGATGGTCATGCGAAGGGGCATCCAATTAATAGCGTAAAACAATTGTCGCGGCCACAGTAACACCTAAGATTCGAATCTGGTGGAAGATTCAGAATATCCAGTAGAAAAAAGTACAAGCATGTGAGTTGGGTAAAAACGGTTGGTTTTCACAATGTGAACCATCGGAATGTTGCATTGTTTAATTCGATTTAGGTTCTTCTGTCTCCGATGTGGTATCACCCTACCCAACAATGTCACACGTGATAACATTCTCCTATCCACAACGCCCCTGCTTATTTCATAAAACATAACTTTATATAAAATTATAAATATATACATGTGGTCCCTTACATTATCCCAAATTTTACAATTATATGATACTAGTATTGTCTGTATTTTATATATTAACACTGTGTTTATATATATAACGATGATTATTTCATATTTTACAAGCCGAAAGCAAGAAGAGCATGACCATTAGGCCATGTGGGTGTATCCGCCCCATATCCAATTACTGATTACAAAATAGACTGCTTTGTGGTTTCTTGTGAACTTGAAAAATCCAATGGATTAAAGGAATCTGTCCCTCAAGCAACAGGTATTTAGCGACACCCATCTATGTTAGAATGCCTTCAAAAGTTTTACATTTATTAAATAAGGAATAAATTGGAAGCATATGATCTTAAAGCAAGTCATATTAAATTAATTTAAATTATTTTGATAGGAGAACAAACATAATATATATGTAATAAATAATAAATTGAAGATATATATATATAATATCTTTAATTTTTTTATTTAATCAACGTGAAACTTTTTAATATATTTTAATAATCTCTCCTAACCATTATCATTTGACCACCCAAGCTCTACTACTTGATTATTAAGCTAACAATCATTTGTAATTTTAATATATTGTCGTCATCTCAACAATATTTTTAATTATATATAACATTAAAATAATAGTCACGCAATATATTCAAGAAGAATTTTGATAAAGACCTTTTGATCATACTTATTTAAATTCAAAGTCTCTAAATTTTTGAAATTACCCTGCAATTCAAGGGTACTGGTTTATTATTAAATTTGTGAGGGAAATGATAAAATTGCTATTTATATAAATTAATATCAAAACTTTTCCTACTTTACTTATTTATTGTCCTACTTTACTTTTTTATTTACTTACAGAATGTTATTAATTATTTTACTTAACTTATTTTCATTCTAAATGTTTAAATCATCTCAAAATAACTTGTTAATTCATATAGTATATATTGTTTATTTACTCATGGATTATTATTCATTACCCTACTTCACTTATTTATTGCCAGACTTTCATTCCAAAAAAATGAACAAGTGAAGTAAGACAATTAAAAACATTTCATAAATAAATGAACAAGTAAAGTAGGATATTTTTTATATTAATTTAAATGAAGAATAATTTTATAATTTTTCTCATAAATTTAATATTAAATTAATATTTTTAAACTGCAGTGAAATTTCATAAATTTAAAAATTTTAAATTTAAATAAATATGATAAAAGGACTTTTATCAAAATTCTTCCATATATTTATATAGATCGGCCGGCCCCTCCACACATACATGTATATGCATATCAGTGAAATTCTTTAAAAAAAAACAAAAATTGCAGAGTCATTCAAGTACAGATGTAGCTTGCCATAATTACATGGATCTCGAACTACATATCCATGCCATGGATTCCAAGTTACAAATTGACCACACATCTAACTAAACTACGCATGGGACATAATTAGCCGATAATATCTATGGCCTCGGATGCTTGGAAGTTTGTGAGGCCTTGTAAAATATAAAATAAAAATAAATAATAATAAGTAATGATTTTATGTGAATATAAAGAATATATTGAAAAATGAATGTGTGTACATTTCTTTAATTAGTGTGATAGGAAATGATAATTGATTACAAATGAGAGGGGGCCAAACATGTCAAGTGCAGAGATTAATTGCAAAAGAGTTGATTGACATGTTATTTGGCACACATATATACGCGGAACCAACACAATAAACAATCAATCTCTTCATCACAAGATTCCAAATGCTACGATCGAACTTGATCTCTTGGCCTTTCAATTCTTCCACAAAAACCCTTCCAACACAACTGTACGTACTCGTTTCATTATCTTCATCTCTGTATTGAATTGAGTGCATCCAGTTGACAATGACTACATCAATCAAACTAAGTAAACTTTTTCTCTTTCTTTACGTTTGTTAGGCAGTTTAATAGTTCGGCATAATAATATTGGGCTCAATTAATTAATATAAAATTTTGGTACTTCTACTGTGTTTTTTGTTACTCCAATACAAGCACACTCTATTTAGAAAACAAATTATAATTTTTTAAAAAAAGTGAAGAAAAAAGAGCAAGCACTCGAGATTATCATAATCAAAACGTTTTTGCTTAAAAACATTATCGGCGGTATGTAATATTCTACTGGAGCATTTTTAATTCTTTAACATTATGACATGCAAATTAATTGTAATCTATGTGTAAAAAAAGAAAGAAACAAAAAGATCTCTGTTCAAGACTATAGTCGAAATATCTGTTAATCTTTTTTTTTAAGAAACTTGCCAAGAAGGTGCTTTTCTTCTTATCAAAAATTGATCGTTACAATGCCTTGATGCTGATGAGTTTTCAAAATTTAATTCACATTAATTTTTCATGTTGAAAAATAAATAAATAAATAAATAAATTGTTGGTTCCAAGAAAATACTTATAATTGTTGGTTTGAGACTTCCAACATCTTGTTTTTATTTAGAAGGGGTTAATGATTTTTTTTCAAGAAAACAATTTAAAAAAAATTCTTTTTAATATAACGTACTGATTTTTCCCTATTTGATATTAAAAAGGTAAAATTTTTATTATTCTAGCTATCAGACATTTTTTTAATCAAAATAGTTTATCTGTTAGACAAATATAACTTCCCATGTAGACTAGTGTTTTTGACACAAAAATCATATATTTTTATATCAAAGTTCAACTTTAGTGCATTAAAGAAGAGTCAAAAAAAAAAAAAAAGCTGAGGGACCATTACGATTGAAATAAAAAGCTTAAAGAATGAAATTTAGATACTTTATAAAGTGAATGCATCCATAGAATTCTCGGAAAAATGAAATAGTCAAACCGTCAAAGTTTAAAAATGCTTCCTTCCTCTTAAAAAAAGAAATCCTCATATATTGTTTCACAGTGCGTGTCAAAAAAAGAAATCGTAATATTCAGTTATTCTCCACTAAGGTTGAGTACTCAGAATCATCCATAAACAGGAATAGAAACAATCATAATCTCCAATTGTGAATCAAAAGAAAGGAATGAACCGTTGCAGGATTAATTGCACATGACACGTGGGATCAAAATTCAAATATGGATAGCTTGCATGAATGGTTTAGCTGGGATGTTAACGTGGTGGTGTGATACAATAAAAATGATTAGTTCTTCTTTCACATATAATAAGCTCTATATCTTGCCACTATCTACAGAATCAAAATTTTAACCTCTATACAAAGGAGACCTTTCCTGATTTACTTTCGATGCCTTCGGTTGCCGGAAGGCCTTCATCGGACTCGGAAAGAACCACCCCCTTCCCTTTGCCGACGACCTCCTCTCCCGGCCGCCGGAGTCCGACATCGCCACCGACCTCGACCTCGTCATCGTCGTCGCCGTCCTCGTACTCGCATCACCGACCGATTCCCCTGCCAATACTTTCCTAGGATCCTGATCCTCTTGCACTTCGCTTCTGCTGCTCTTCTGTGGCTTGAACATTGACCAAAATGACCTCGTCGACCTGCTTCGGTTCAGAGCCGGAGATTCATCGGTACTATCGGGATCCAAGCCTCTATCGCTACCGGAGAATCTGGTCCGAGAACGGAGAAACGGAATCGCCATGGACCGAGAGCGACGCAAAGCGGGCTCGGTGTCGATTTGGTTATGCACGCGGCCGATTGCACCGACGCCGGAGGTGTGGACGGAGAAACGAGAGAAGGAAGAGGAGGAGGACGACGACGACGAACAGCTGGTGGCGCAGCAGGAGCAGGGGCGGATGCTACCACATTCAGGGCAGAGAGCGAGGAGGCGTTCGCGGAGGCAGACAGGGCAAATTCCGCTCCTCCGTCGCTTGGAGGGGTGTTTGGAACACTTCCAAACCTCATCCTCGTCCAGGAATAACGCCATTTCGCCGGTGGATTATAATTCCCCTCCTTTTGTTTCTCTGGCTTCTGGATCTGTGGCTCCGAGCTTATAAAACAAAGTGGTTTGATTGAAGCAAGGAGACAAACTAACTATAGTTAAATACTAGGGCCGTTTGTTAACCGTGATTAGAGCGAGCACCACTTCGGAATGCAAACGCCGCGTTTCGAGGAGCTGCAGGGGTGGAGTGACGTTGACGACCCTCAAGGGATTGAAAATTCACGAGAATGCCACTGCTGTATTAATAATAATACATATAAGTAAATAAATTGGGGGGCGTGATAGTGGGAGATGATGGTGTTTGTTGGGAGGCGTTTGGACGCACATAAAAATAGATTGAAGGGTGAGATGGGACTGGTCGAAAGGCCACGATTAAGATGGGGAAATTTAATTAAAAACTATTCAAATAAATTATTCATAAATAATAATTAAAAATAAATTCTATTAAAAAAAGTAAGTCCTCATCATTTTTATTTTAATAACTATATTTTTATACTAGTCTTTCTTCGTGAATAATTTATTTAAGTAATTTTTAGATGTAATTCTCTTGATTATAAGAGACCCAACTAACCAGCACATCCTCAATTATTTAGAGGTTATACTAGTTTAATTAAAAGTGTTGAGATCAAATTTAGAATATCCAACAGCATTGTATTAATATACTTGTGAGGAGAGCTCGCCACCATTGTAGTCTGCCCTTACTCCATCCAAAGAAATCCTGGTCCAAAAGACACCGGATATCGATTATCGAGGTGCACACACGAAAAAGTTAAGAGGGACCCATTGGCGGAGAAACATTAATCAATAATTTCATCACAATAACATCTAAAAAGTAAGCAGTTCCGTTTGATGTATGTTCCTTCCCTTATCGTTTGACATTATTGGAGTTGGATCTTGAAAGTTAAAAAAAATGATGAAATATCTCTCTAGTTGTTGAAAACTTGAAACAACTACTCAAAAAGGGCGAGAGTGTGTTGGAAGCGAATTGGTCAAAGAAATTGAAAATCCAGAGTGTGCTTGAAGTCGTTAATGGAGGATCTATACATAAATGCCACGTGCGAAGGTGTAACGAAATGAAAGTCTTCGAGCAGCCACTTGTGAGGCACTTTTTACAATTTGGGATGATAATTCTGACGTCCTTCGTAATTATTTGTTAATTCAAATTAAAGTATCAAATGAATTAAAACGACCCCACTGCCAGCGGAGTACTGTGTTGTGCTCTCACCGGCTCTGCCCTTTGTTCTAAGTTTGGTTGATAATTAGTCTTATACGACAAAGGCCTTTATTTTTTTTTTCTTTTTCTTTGTTATGTTTTAATATGGATGAAAGGTAGAAAAAAGACGGGTAATATATTATATGTATTGATTAGCATCACTTCATTTGAAACGAGTCTGAGATTTGGTGTGATAGTTTGAATTCGACTACTTTAGAATTTTAAAGCCCTAAGTGGATAGATGTATGTGTAGGGACTAGGTCTGGGGAGGTGCTTGTGTTTTGACTTCTGAGTTATTAGGGCAATTAATATGTAGGAATTAATCCACTTGGCTGCAAGCTTGCAATTGGAGCCGTCAATAAAAGTAAGCCCATCAAAACAACCTTCTTTATAACATTATCAATTTTAAATCAAATTAAATAAACTCAATCAGATTAATTGTGTTAATAAAATGTGTAGCTAGAGAGACCTAACGGTGTGTTTAGTTTCAATTTTAACTTTAAACATAGGTCCAAAAGAAAATCGAGTCACTCGAGAATAAAAAAAGAAGAAATTTTGAAAAGGGAGATTCTGTGTCATGCGCCGCAGCTTGTGAATAATCAGCCACGGCGCATGTGTGACAACATGCTTGGAGAGAGGCTCTCTATGACAAAACATCAAAAGTGAGCTTCCTTATTTAAATCTTTCTCTCTTCCTCCATTTTCTTGATAGTAAAAATTAAGATATAATTGATAATAGCGATTTTCGATTGATAGATGCTATATGTTCGAACCCATTGAATTAAATAGAGTTAATGGGAATAGATTGAATTAAGTAAACTTGATATTTATGATTTTATGATGATTGGTGGTTGAAGGACATTAAATGTCCAAAAATTCTCATAAATATGGTGGTTGGGAATAATGTGGTTCCATTAAGGATCATTAAAGAACTCAATGTTATTAATGAGGGTTGAAGAAAGCTAAGAAACCTTATGAATATTTTTATATGATGTAAGAATGAATCTTGAGCATTAAGAATTGTGGAATTATTAGTGAAATTTAGCCCAAATATGAATATTGATGATTTACATGATAAATGCTTGTAGTGTGACTACCACTGGCAACATTCTAACTTCTTGAAAGCTTTAAGAGTGAGCATTTGAGAGATAAAACTTTTGACCTTTTAAAGGTTTGAGGTAATCAGGAGAATTTTATTCTATACTTTTATATGTCAATTAGTTTGTTGAATAATATTTGATGATTGAATTGTGTAAAATTAGGTAAAATATAAATGTGGCTTGTTTTGTTTGAAAAGCCCACTACCAAGTGGTGATTTAATTTAGTTCAATGATTGTAAAATTGAGAACTTCAAAATTTATATATTGTGGAATTCAATGAAAAGTTAAATTGAGGAGTTCAATGAATATAAGGAGTCCAATGATTGAATTATATGTAATTTTTACGTATGAGATGTGTATAATGATGTCTTTATGCATGTGTGACAATGAGTAATTGCATGCTTTAAATTATTGCATAATATATGTATTGCATGATCATAAGAGGTGGGAGTTTGCTTAAGAAAAGAAGTGGAGAATTAAATCTACATGGTAGGACTCCCATTTGAGTGATAGCTTGCCCGAATTCATTATACTCTTATTGTCCCACTTGTTCAATGAGAGATTGTCCCATTAGTTTAATGAGGGACTCAAACCTAGCTAGTCATGCACCGGTTCAACAAGAAAGCTAGTCTAAAGAATATAGCACCCTATAGTGTGAGAAAATGGGGAAAACCGTATTTCACAAGTGAGTCGAGTAAGCCTTGGCAGGAAAATTTCCTCACAAGTGTTTAGGCTAGGAAAGTCATGAATTATAGATTATTCTATTGTGTTATAGCCCACGATTTCATGCCAGAGGAATAAGGAGAATATAAAGAAGGTGCGACCGTGCATATAGTGAGTAAGGACATATGATTGCCTATATTGTGACTTTAATTAGAATATTCACGAATTGAGTCTTAATCCTTTCTGAGTATATGTCATTGAATCTTGTGACAAATCCTCTTTGATGTGAAAATTGTTAAAAACCATTATTTCCCAAATATGTGATATCATATCTCGAAAAGTGAATTTATGCTCCTAAATGCTTTACATGATTTGAGAGAATTGATTGTATTTATCACTTGCATTTAAACTAATTGACATGTATTAATATGAAGTAGTTGGACATTATTTACTAAGTGGTTGTACTCACCCTACTATCTTCAATATTACAGGGAATAGCTCAAGAGAATCGAATAAAGGAAAGTACCCAGTGGCCTAAGATTACAATCTAATTTAGTATGCCTCTTATTTTTAGAGTCATTATATATATATTTAATAATTACAATTACCAATTAGGGATCGCTTATCCCTAATCCTTACTTGCATTATGTGTTTTGTGAATTGTAAGTGTATTTTGGGTCTTAGGGAGTAAGTTTATAAAATCATTAAAATGCAATATCTGTAATAGGGTTAAAATATTAATACAAGTAAGAGTTGAGTATATTATGTGTTGATTATGGATTATTTGATGAACAGGTGTTCAAACTACCCCTTGTACATTTTTAAGATTAAGGGGTTGTGTGATGAAAATATGATTTATAAGTGTTTAATGTGATATGGTGCATTACACGAGTTAGTTTTGATATTTTGCATGTGGTCAAATTGATGTCAATGGCTATTGGCTTTTGGTAAATAAATTGAACACTTAGTTTTATAAAAAAAAATTGGTGACAAAATACAAGTTTTAAAAAGAGCACCCAAATTTTGATTGAGTAATAATTTAATTATGAAACCAAAGCCATTAATTAGAGTTCGAAAAAAGCTTTCTATAGACACCTAATTCATGTCAATCAAACATCGGATGGAGAAGTGAAGCGCGTGGGAAGTTGCCTCAAAAGCTATCAAATTGATAACAAAATTTACTGTCAAAATTCATGCAATTACATTACGACGCATGGTGCCATGAGCCATAATGCATGGTACATAGGCGAACACGCCACGACATATGTTCAATGAGCAGTGGTGCACATTTAAATTTTTTACAGAATTATCTTGGTTTCAAATTCTTGTGCTATGTACCATGTTTTGAAATGATCCCATATTTTTGCATTTTTGTAAACTTTAACTTACCTATTTTAAAGACATTGAAAATGGTTTGAGTTTTGTAAACTTGAGGTCCCAACTTTTCTATCAATTATAACTTGGTCTTATATTAATTATCTTAATCCAATCTCTTTATTAATTGAGATATGGAGTGAATCATAGTTAATAAGGGAGGATATTACACTTTTAAACCCAAAAAATCTGAAGCCACGTTACTACTTTAGAGTACAAAATGATAATTTGGGCTTAAAAGGGATGGTTCTTTTAAGCCGTAAAATAAAAGGATCAGCCTTTTAGGGCTAGAGTCAGCCATTTTAAATCCTTTTATAATTTTTTAAAATTTTAATATTAAAAAAATTAAATACTATACTAATTTTAAAACCCTAGACTCATTTTATGGGGATGAAGAAGGAATATATAAAAAGCTTAATATTTTTGTCACTGTTAAGGCTCCACAAAGAGAAGGATGAAATTATATTGATATTGGTGATAATAAAAATCATCAAGATTTCACTGATGATAGTAGCAAAGTCTGATTGTTATCGGTGTTGATTTTATCATATTTTTTATTATACTTAAATTGGTTTTTATAGATTTAATGTTATGTGTAACAATTTTTTTGAGATTTTAAATATATTATTTAAAGTTTTAAATTAAAAAATAAAAAAATACATAAGGCCGAGGCCTTGAGGACAACCCTTCAACTTAGGACCAGAGCCAAGCTGATCAA